GGGGGGGGGAGTGCTGGCCACGAGCCCCGCTCGGCCCTCGCGGCTGACCGCGCTGACCTCTCTCCAGGTGCCGCTGCCCAGCTCCGTCTATGTGAACACCACGGAGTCCTACGAGGTGGAGAGGTGAGTGCGGGAGCCCTTCTTTCTCCAAAGCCTTGTTTGTGTAAACACGAGGTTTTTCTGCTTTTCTGTTCCCCTCACTCACCTGGGTGCTGGGTCGATGCCGGCGCAAGTACGTGGCCGAGTGTAGCCAGAAACACGGCGAAACAACAGGTGCCATCAGCTCAGGCCCGCTGCCGGCTGTCACTCTGGGTGCGGCCCGGGCTCTGCGTGGGCCGGCCCGCTCTGCACCCACTGCTTTCGGCACCCACTGGTCACAGCACCTGAGCTGCAGGATAGTGAGAGGACAGATGCCGCTCTGGGGACGGGCTGGAGGGTCCCTGAGAGGGTGATTCACCTGCTGACTTCATTTTTAGGCTGTTCAAAGCCACGAGCCCCCGGGGAGAGCCCCAGGATGGACTCTACTGCATCCGCAACTCCTCCACCAAGTCCGGGAAGGTAGGTGCCAAGGAGGCTGCCCTGGAGGCCACCCTGCCAAGCACAGGCCCTGGGGGTGGCTGCCTGTGCTGGACTCCCCTGGCCCTCCGCGCACCAGGCCCACAGGCAAGCGCAGGACTTTACCCTTTATACATTTACTTTCCCATGCAGCCTCCTATTTGCCGCGTCTACCGAGTGCTACCCTTGGGGTCTCTGCCTGGCATTTATTCCAAGGAATTAAATACCATCTGCAGACTGAGGGCAATGGGGGCCACCCCCCTAGCACTAGCAGGAGATGGGAAAGAGAGGCTGGGGCCCAGACTCTGATGGGGGTGGGGGTTCCTGCACTCCAAGGCGGAGGCTGCTTGGGGCAGGGGGAATGGCAGGTCATCTGCCCGCTTTGCCTCTGCTCCTCCAAGGGTGACTTGTATAACTTCACTGAGCCTCAGTTTCCCCATGTGTATCAGAAATGGTCCTAGAGTGGACCAGGTACCCTCAAATCTCATCAGAGGCCATCTGAGAGCAGGAGCCCTGGGCAAAGGGCTGTCCTCCACCCTGCTGTCCACGTGCAGGGCGATGCCTCCCCTCACCCCGGAGGGCCAACAGGACCCAGCCAGGATGCTGTTTACCCTCTGGGTCCCCGTGCCCAGCTCCCTGGGTCAGAGCTGTTCTCCGCCTGCCCTCAGCCACTGCTGGCTTTTCTCCCCACAGGTTTTGGTTGTGTGGGATGGAACCTCCAGCAAAGTGAGGAACTACCGCATCTTCGAGAAGGTGAGCAGATTGCCCCTGCCACCCAACGTCCCTGAGTGGGATGGGGACCCTGGCCTGGGGCATGGCTGGGGACAGGACAGCCTCCCCATAGAGGGTAGGCAGTGGATCAGCTCAGACTGGCACCTCTGTGCACCATCCCTGCCCCACTGCCTCAACCTCCCCCCTTCCCTGGCCTAGCTGTGTCCTCAGCTGAGCCTAGAGGGGCTGGGTGACCAGCTCTTGATCCCAGACTTCTCTACAGACCTGAGCTGCATCCCCTGGGTGAAGCGGGGGGTGAGGTGTGAACTTGGAGGCAGGCACAGAGGGAACACCGGGCAGCAGGGGCAGGCCTGTTATTGCTGGCCACCCCGTTTTGCAGAGGGGAAGGCTGGCCCTGCACTGCCTGACCTTGCCCTTCTTAACCCCCAGGACTCTAAGTTCTACCTGGAGGGCGAGGTCCTGTTTGTGAACGTGGGCAGCCTGGTAGAGCACTACCACACCCATGTCCTGCCCGGCCACCAGAGCCTGCTGCTGCAGCACCCCTACGGCTACACGGGGCCCAGGTGACGCCTGCACGGAGCTGCGGGGCAGAGGCGACCACGGGCCACCACCTCAGGCCATGCAGATGACACTGACCTGCATGGGAGGAGGAGCTCTTAACTGAGGCCTTCCCAACAGACAGCTTGTGGAATCTGCCAGGCCAGGCCGCACCCAGCAGGCTGGGTCCTTGGGGCTAGGCCAGGCCCCAGGCTCCAGAGGGCTGAGGGCTCTCCTGTCCCTCTCGGGGAGCCCAGGGTCCCAGGACCAAGCCCTGCCTGAACTTCATGGACAGGAATTCTGGCCTGCCGCCTCCCAGCACACCCACCCTGCACTGGGCTGGAGGCTGGGCAGGGCTTGGGCATTTGGGGTGGGGGTAGGGGCTGGCCCCAGGCCCCCCCAGGAACGCTAAGACTCAGGCTCCAGCAGGGGCCTTTGTTGCACAATAAAGCACAGATGACCTTTGCCTTGGCGCCCAGGCTTCATTGGGAAGGAGGGGGTGACTGGCCTTATTGAGGACCCACACCTACGTCCAAGTGGTCTCCCCGTCTTCCTGGGGCACAGGTTGCTGAATGACTTGCTCAGGCACACAGCTTGTGTTAGAACAGGACGCAAGCTCGAGCAGTCCGAACTTAGAGCCCACACTCCCACGTGCCAGGCTCTGCTGCCACCAGTCAGGTCCAGGGCAGGGAGGCTGCAGAGCTTAAAGGCCCCACATTTTCTGTTGGATCCTTCGCGAGATTAACTGTTTCTGGGAGACTGCTGGGCAGGAGGTGCCCATGACGCAGGCTCTCTAGAGTAGTGGGGTGTAAGGCCTTCAAGCTTAGAATCCAGCTTGGGTTCCAGGAGGACTTCTTAGAGGAAGTGACCGCTACGGACGGGCAGAAAGAGTGGTCCCTTCCTGCCATGGAATTCCAGCAGGCCCCTCTCCCTGATGCGGCCATCCGGGCTGGGTCTATTTATTGTGTGTGAAACGGCTCAACTGGAGGTCAGGGCTGGCAGGGACCCAGGGTCACCTAATCCTCGCTGCACTTTAAGTTGGGGAAGGGAATTTGGTGTGTAAAACCCAAACCCGGGACAGTACTTGTGCCCACTGTCCCCTGGAGAAGGCCCTTTGTTGGACTTCTCTCCCCTCCCTGGACATGTTCTGGGGTGGGGTGGTTTGCCGGAGAAGGGGAGGAGGTGAAGCTGGTCAGCTGATGTGGAAGCCTGCGTCCCTGGGATGCTGTGGGGAGCAGTGGGGACGATGGCCATCTGCTTCCAGGAACTGAGTGACCTCACTGTCTGCAGACATTTCCTCTAAAGCCTGCCAGGGGCAAGGCTTGGTGCAGTCACCCTCAAGTCTGGGGCACTGGGGCACTGGGGCACCAGGATCTTCCGGTGCCCTGCTTCACCTCAAACCCCAGTAGTCCTCGTGCTTGCACTTGCAGTTCTCTGCCCTCTGCCCTGCACGCGTTTGGGGAACCCAGTGAGGTACCTCATCCCCCACTGTGGCTGCAGTTTCCCTTTGTGTAAATTTTTTAAATGGGGACTTGGATCAGAGAACAATTTCCAACCGGTGCCTGGGGTCCTCCGTGCTGGTGATGCGAGTCAGGACGCAGGACGCTGTGGCCTCTAGCTAACATGCAGCCACTTTGGAGACAATTCAGTGGATGAAGCATGAAGACCCCTGAGCTGGAAGGTTTAGAGGTTCTGGGGCCAAGAGCCTCGTGATAGGTTCTAATAGCTGCCTGGACAGATGAGGCCTGTGGCTGCCCAAGGCCCACTCCAGGGCCTGGGCCTGCCTCTTTGTGAACGGCCCCTGGGCCCAGGGCCTTAACTGCAGGAGTGTGCGCATTGGGAGTGGTGCATCGGGTCCCAGGCATGGTTCTCCAGCATGAAGCGGGGACCAGAGGGTTCCCACTCCCTCCTGAGGCCTGCCGTGAATGTTCTGTTCCTCTTTTAGGGTGCATATCACGTAGCGAGCACTTCCTGTGCTCGAGGTGCTGAGCTGGGCACTTGACAGTTTGCTTAGAGAAGCAGCTGTTATTAGTTCATTTTACAGGTGAGAAACTGAGGCCAAGCCTTGAATTCAAGTTTGGGTTCTGCCACTTACGGCTGTTACCGGGAAACCCCGGTGGGCCTCGGGCTGCCTGTTGCTGTATTCAATTCAACGGAGGCAGGGTTGAATCACATAAGGCCTTTATTAAGAAGGCCGGCCAACCAAGACGACAGGGAGCCTACGAGCATCCAAAACCTGTCTTCAGCAGTGGCCTGAGGGATCGGGGTCTATGGGGCCAACTGAGGCTGGGAATGGAAGTCATTCTTTTGATCTTGGTTGCCTGGGGATGTCTCCAGAAGGTGATATCTTGACTCATTGTTAGGTCAGCTGGGCCATGCTTCTTGGTCTTGAGAAGGTGCTATCGTAACCCATTGTTCACAGCTGGAGAAGGTGATATCTTAACCCATTGTTCACAGCTGCGCCACCTCCTTAATTGCTTCGTTCTGGGACCAGGCAGCGTGCAGGGTGCAAAGGCCTAGGAGAAAGAAGCCTAAGGAAAAAAAACTTAAATCTCTGCTTACGTAAGTATATGTGCTCTACAATTTTATAAGTAATGTTTTAGATTAACTCCGTGCTCAATCTTTGGACATTATAAGTGCGTGTATCATTTCCCCCTCTGATTAGGTAAATTAGCTGATATATATCAACCTTATACTAAACTGCATCTTATTAAATCCGTCCTATTGCTGTGGTGCTGAAGTCTTTGCTTCTGCAGGGCGGCGATGACCCCTTCTAGGTCTTAGGAGTTGACATGCGCTAGAACAGAGAGGCATACACTGAATACAATAAGATAGTAGGCCCGGCCGGGCATGGCTCAGCGGTTAAGCATCGGGGATCCAGGCGATCAGGGTTCGATTCCTGGTCAGGGCACGTGCCCGGGTTGCGGGCTGCAGCCGATCAATGACTCTCTCATCATTGATGTTTCTATCTCTCTCTCCCTCTCCTCTCCTCTCTCTGAAATCAATAAAGATATAATTAAAATAAGATATTAGACAAATCATCATAACGAGCAAAAAAACGAGGAAGGCTTCGTTTATGCCAGCCAAGAGGTCAGGCCAGCGAACTCCTCAGTAAAGAAGCCTTCCCTTTGTGTGACATGGGAAAAAGTCCCCTTGACTTTCTGTAACTTCTGCTCTCTGAGCTCAGAGTTATCAGTGAGATTGAAACAGCACATACCCTTAAAATCTTCACACCCCGGATTGTGTCTGAGTAATAAGTAATCAATGGCGGCTCGATTTTCTAGGACCGCTTCTCTTACCCTAGTTCCTGACCCACAGCCTCTATAGCTTGGGAGGTAGAATTTGGAGCTTTTGCCATAGTACGAGCCAAATTAGTTACTTTAGCATTTGATAATCCTACTATCACTGGAGTGGCAAATACAGCCGTAGAGATGTATTCAGCCCGACTAAACAGATGTACTTCACCATCACAGTTTTCATCTCGTGTGAGTTCAGGGTGCCTGTGGTGGGAACAGGGCTTCTGTGGCAATATTACAGTCAAATGTCCAATTGTGCAAGGACCCCCAGCACTATTCATAGGTACCTAAGAACATGCTGTTAAACCACAGGGCAGGAACCAGTCAGGGGGATGGCAAACATGGCCATTTCCGTTAAGATACAGAGGAATTTTTTTTTTTTTTTAATATATCTTCATTGATTTCAGAGAGAGGGAAGGAGAGGGAGAGAGAGAGAGACAGAAACATCGATAATGAGAGAGGCATTGATCGAGCCCACAACCCGGGCATGTGCCCTGACCGGGAATCAAACCCAGATCGCCTGGATTCCAGGTCGATGCTCAACCGCTGAGCCATGCCCGGCCGGGCAGGAATTTTCTTTTGAACAGTTCGATTGCTGCTGATTTTTCAAAGACAAACAGTTTCCTGGACATCCTATAAAGTATACACACTCTCCTATGGAACCTCCTGCTACTTTAATAGAAAACATAGTACAAGCCCTTTCAACAGCAGGGCAATTGATAGCATCTGGTCCCAATGCAGATGAGTCTCCTGACAGTTTTGTCTCTCAGCCTTTCCTGGAGCCTAGATGTTATCTCTACAGAAGAAAGGTCAGGGGTGTCCAAACCGCATGGCCAGGGATGTGCTAAGACAGGCCCTCCTGGTGGGGAGGTCCCACCCTGCCCTACAGTTGTTCCCTGCTAGGCACCTGGGGCTTTCCACCTTGATGACCTTCTGTACCTGGCCCCTTGTCCTTGCTCTGCTCGCGTCTGTCTGACTGCCTACTACACCCCCCCTTAAGGATCTTGGCTCTGAATTATTTCAGGGAAGAGGGGCGCAGAGTCTCTTCTTATAGCTACTTCCTGCTGAAAGGGGGTGACGCTTTCCTCAAAGCCAAGCGATCCTTGCTCTGTCAGAGGGAGAGTGAGGCCTGGGCACAAAGGAGGTAGCAGTGGTATCTAGAGGTGGTTTTCCCTGGGTACCAGTAGGGCTTGTAACCTGGTGGAGACAAACTGTTATAAATTTTAGTATTATTAGGACAAAGCTAGAACAACAGGAATTATGACAAATGGTCTGGTGGAAGGAAAAACCAAAAAACATTTTAGTTGTAATATTTCCCTGTTGAAACAATTCCCCCCCCCCTAAAATCACCCTCATTTTATTAAAGAGCCAAATTAAGACCAGTCTCTTTACTATATTGTTCAGTTTCAGTTTGGCCTGGTTATTTGTTGAACCCAATAAGAATAGCACTTGAACATGGAGGTTTTTAAAACCTGCTTTGCTAGGATCTCATGATGGAGCTTTCATTAGCCCCTCAGGGCAAAGAAGCCGAGCTACCTAGTTGCCATCAGGTTTTGCCTGCAAGACCTATAGACTTGGGTGAGTTCCTCAAGTCCTTGAGGTCCCCAAAATGTCTTGAGGTTCTTTCCTTGCCATTTCCCAGGAAAGCAACCTTTGTCCCTTACCAGGAACGACTGCCATGAACCATGAGACCAAGCAAAGTTTCAGGCACTCTTATTCAAGGTGCTCTTATTAGCTTCAGAGTTAGCCTTTTCGTTTTCGTGAGGCTTTCTTGTGACATCCAGAGTCCAGGCATGTCTCTCTCAGACGCGACATTCCAGCCCAAGTCTCGGTTAATAAAACCACAATTGAAAACTGGTCTTACTGAATTAATGCAAAGAAACGTATTGCCATGACTCAATCATTAAGAAATTGCCAAGTTTTGGAGGGATCAGGTAGTGAGAAAAGTATAATTTACCTAATTGCTTTAAGGAAAGAAACAAGTTTCCTTATGTCTGAAAAACAGGTTAGAAATCAGACATACTTTTAGCAAAAGTTACAAGAACTACAATTATTTTCAGTTCATTCAGTCCCATAATCAATTTTTGTTTCTCCTGATTTTTCTTGCCAGTACTTCTAAAAACGCAGACACTCTATAGAGTTCTAATAATTCTCACCCACTTTGAAGGGG